TATACCACAGGTTAGATATTAGAAGGTTAAATTTCCCCAATGGCTCTCTTCCAGCAGTCTTCCTGGGACAGTCCTTTTGTGCACAAGAAGGTAAGTGTCTCCTAAGTTGTGTCCTTCACAACACCTTAGATAATAGTCACAGGAGCTATGGAGTAGATTATGTGTCCTTCACAACACCTTAGATAATAGTCACAGGAGCTATGGAGTAGAGTAATAGGAAGATGGTCTGAAGCCCAGGTTTCCCATTCTGGTGTCTGCTGTTTATAACTGTGCTATCTCATTAAGAGGACTCAAGACCACTCTGGAGCTACAGCCTTGGCCTCTGCTAGCTACATGTCTAAGAATGACCCGTGTTTTACCAAGAATTCATAAGAGGAAGTCATGAGTTGTCTTTGCCTAACACCCTCCTGAGTGTTGACTCACATTTTTCCTCCAAAACAAAGTTTATTTACTTCACCTATTTAGAGGAAGTCAGTCTATGCTTGCTCTATTGTACTGTACTCATGTACTGTACCACCCTGGGGAGTACTGAGAGAAGCATCAGCTTAAGTGTAAGAAGCTATAATAGTGTTAAATTCTGCATGCTCTGCTAATCCGACTCTTGTTTTGGCCTCCTAGTACATGTGAAGCCTTCATCTACCATGCCTTCTCTCTCCAGCATCCTTTTATATTTAATTTTTTTCATCTTACATACCAACCCCAGTTTCCCTTCCCTCCCCTTCTCCTGCTCCCCACCTCCCCCTGATCCCAGCCCCATCCAGTCCTTAGAAGGGGGTAAGGCCTCCCTTGGGGAGTCAACAAAGTCTGGCATACCAAGTTGAGGCAGAGCCAGGCTCCTTCCCCAGCATCAAGATTAAACAAGGTTTCCCACCATAGGGAATGAGCTCCAAAAAAGCTAGTTCATGTACCTGGGATAAGTCCTGGTACCACTGCCAAGAGTCCCACGAATAGATCAAGCCACACAACTGTCACCCACATTCAGAGAGCCTAGTTTGGTCCTACGCAGGTTCCCCAGCTGTCAGTCCAGAGTCCGAGAGTTCCTATTAGTTCAGGTTAGCTGTCTCTGGGTTGACCAACATGATCTTGACGCCCCCTTGCTCATTTTATCCCTCCTCCCTCTCTTCAAATTACCTCCAGGAGCTTGGCCCAGTGCCTGGCTGTTGATCACTGCATCAATTACTGGATGTAGGTTCTATGATGATAGTTAGGGTAGTCACTAATCTAATTACAGGGGAAGGTTAGTTCAGGCACCCTCTCCACTATAAGGTCATCCTTACAGGTTTCTGGGAATTTTTCCTAGCACCAGGTTTCTTCCTAACCCCATAATGGCTCCCTCTATCAAGATATCTCTTTCATTCCTCCCCCAGCTTGGCCATCTCAATCCATCGTAATCCCATCTTCTCTGGTGTTGCGAATTGTAGCCTGGTTATCCTTTGCTTTACATCTAATATCTACTTATGACTGAGTACATTCCTTGTTTGTCTTTCTGGGTCTGGGTTACCACACTCAGGATGATTTATTCTAGTTCCATCCATTTGCCTACAAATCTCATGACTTCCATTGCTTTTTACTGCTGAGTGATACTCCACTGTGTAAATGTACATTTTCTTTATCCATTCTTTAGTTCAGGGGCATCTAGGTTGTTTCCATGTTCTGGCAGTTATGAATAACTCCGACATCCTTCTAAAGACTGACTTATCAATGCTTAAGATACAATTCTAGGGTGCTGGAGAGATGGCTCAGTGGTTAAGAGCACTGGCTGCTCTTGCAGAGGTCGTAAATTCGGTTCCCAGCAACCACATGGTGGCTCACAACCATTTGTAATGGGATCTGGTGCCCTCTTCTGGCCTGCAGGCACACATGCAGTCAGAACACCATGTACATAATAAATAAATCTTTTTAAAAAATACAATTTTCGGTATCTCCCTCCTATAACTTCACAGATCTGTCTTAGGTGCAATATTCTAAGTTGGCTCCCACCTTCTTTCCCGGCTTATAGCTACTTCTCCAGAGTGTCTGTCTCTTCTCCTCTTCACTCACACTCACCTTCATTGAGCTTATCTTTCACTTTTTGTTTTTATCAATTCTCGGTCTTTCCTGTAACCGCCCCTTATCTCTGCAGTCCCCGTCTCACCTATACACACCTCCTCCACTTCCCGTTCTGAATTCCCGCACCAAATCTCCTTTTCTGTAACTTGACTCTGTGGATCACAAGGCTACGAGTGTGTACTTGGGATCTTAACTGCACACATTTACAGGGTGCATTGTGATGTAACATGCAATGTATTCACACCCCATGTGCTAATCAAAACAGAGTAATATTCCCATGGCAGTGTATAAAAATACCACAGCGTGCATGTGGAAGCCATAGGGGACAAATGTGGAAGTCGTAACTTAGATATCTGTCCTTGCCTTTTACCTTAGTATTACATTGTGTTTGGAGACTAACAAATTCTTCTCACCTGCTTATTCACAACATAAATAATAATGATTGAAAACTGTAATCACCTAGCTGCTCTGTAGAGAATTAGCATTTATTGAACTGCCCATTATTCGATTGTGCCAGGTTCTCGGAGCCCAGAGACTAACCCAAGGAGTCGACACACTGATGCAAAAGCAAAAGGTTTCTTTTTATTTCAAGCTGACCAGCTAGGATCTCACTGCATGGCTGACAAATGAGATGCCACCCTGCCAAAAAGAGAAGCTTTTAAAGGAGCAGACCATAAGGCCACAAATTACAGCGTTTCCATGGTTACTTAAGGTCATACAAAGTACAGAGTTAGTCAGTAACTACACATTTTAAGGGAGATACATTTGACTGAGATAAGACAGGAAAAACTAAAATAAATAAATAAATAAATAAATAAATAAATAAATAAATAGGCAGCCATAAGGTTGAAGGCCACAAATTACAGTTTCCATGGTTACTTAAGGTCATACAAAGTACAGAGTAAAGCAGTAGCTGTATATTTTAAGTGAGATACTTTTAAGTGAGATAAGACAGGGCATGGGCTTGCAGGGTTACAGAGTCACAGGGTCTGTCAGTGATCCCCTGAGCTGGGGAATCTTTATGACCAGCATTTAGCAAAGGAATGTTAACAGGAGTGGTGGACAGTTAGCTCCCCTTCTCTGAGAACAGGGGATCAGGCGACAGGCATGGCACTCCTGATTTAAGGAGTTAAATTTTCCTCTACCTGAAAAGATGTTCTCTTTTCAGGGCCCAAGTTCTTACACTTTCATTAATTTTAACTTTTGGTTCCTCAATTCAACTTCTGCCTATCCCAACTCCCTTATATTTCTGAGCCTCTAGTTACTACTATTCAACATTCAAATCAAATTTATTGTCATCAACAATTATTGTTTATTTAACCTTTTATCTACAGGGCAAACTATTATGCCAGGTATTTATTAAGTCCTCCACCAATGTCTTCTAAATGAATGACGGACTGACTGTTAGGATCAGCTGTTTTAACTCTATGAGATCAAGGATGTAGTCATAAACCTCATTGTGGGTCTATGGGCAGTTAATAGGTTCTGGGAAAAGGATGTCGTTTTCTTCATTAGTGCAGTCTCTACTAAGTTACCCACATGCCATTAAATAACCTCTCGCACATGTCCAAGAAACTCTGATTAAAATTGGTGGATTGAAAGAAGACATCAAATTAGAAAGGAGATTCTAGACAAGGGTGGATTCAGAAACAGAGCAAGAATAGAGGGGATTTGAGGAGGATGAAAATGACCCAAATGTGTTATATGCATATTTGAAAACGAAAAAGTATTTTAAAATCACCTTCCTAAACACAGTGAGCATACAGTACTTGTATTTTTGTTTTGGTTTCACTTTGTGATACCAAAGGTCAAACCCAGGACTTTCTGTATGATAGGGAATGTTCCACCAACTGAGCTGCCCCCACAAAACAGATATGTCATGATGAAAGGAACCAGTGCCCCAATGTCTATTCCATATAACAATTAAAAACTGAGAATGAGGTCTTCAAGATCAAAAATCACTTTCTCAAGGCTAATCAACAGTAATGAGGAAAGCCAGGAAGATAACTAACATGTTCAGTCTCCCTGTGAGGTCTGGATTCATCACCAGGATCTGCCCATTCCAGTTCCAGGTCACCTGGTCCTGTTCTTAGAGCACTCTTCATTCCTCTATCAGATATGTATGTATGTATGTATGTATGTATGTATAAAATATACACACATAAATGCATGCAAGCTCTGTTTTGTTTGGTTTGGTTTGGTTTTTCCAGACAGGGTTTCTCTGTGTGGCTTTGGAGCCTATCCTGGCACTCACTCTGGAGACCAGGCTGGCCTCGAACTCACAGAGATCCCCCTGCCTCTGCCTCCCGAGTGTTGGGATTAAAGGCGTGTGTCACCAATGCCCGGCGCAAGCTCTGTTTATTTGGGTACTTAGGGACAGGAAATGGATTTGAGGTCCAGACGCTGACTAAGGGAAGAGTGCCAAGTCATGAAACCATTGTTTCATGATGATGATTGCACAGCATGATGACATAATCACTACAACTGAACTAACCCTGACAGTCGTTAAAAAGGAAGACTGGCATGATGGTGCACAGACGTAACCCCAATTCTTAGGAGGCAAAAGGATTGTAACCACATAGTAAAACCCTGTTTCCAATGGCAAATTTTCAATGTATGAAACATACCCCAAGGCCGGGCCTTAGTGGCACACGCCTTTAATCCCAGAGGCAGAGTCAGGCAGATCTCTGTGAGTTCGAGGCCAGCCTTGTCTAAAGATCAAGTTCTAGGACTGCCTCCAAAACAATACAGAGAAACCCTGTCTTGAAAAAAAAAACAAAGAAATATACTCCAGAACAACTGCTTTCTTTGAAAGAGTGTTTCATGTATGTGCAGATAAGCATGCATGTTTGGGTACATACAGCGGGCTCAGGACACTACTGTTTTCCGCCTTCAGGTGATATCCACCTTGTTGATTTTTTTTTAATCTTTAATTAAATTTGTCCTTTGGCGTGTTCATACGTGTATATAGTCTGCTCTTATGGCTGACACCCCACACCTTCTCTTACTTCCTTCTAGCACCCCCTCATTTCCTACAAGTCTCTCTCATGTGTCCGTGCCTTTGTTTCATGATGCGCTAAATTTAACCTGGACCATCTGTGCAGCCACGGGTTTGGAGGTAGCCACTGGAGACTGGTGGGCTAGGTGAAGATAATGCCTACCCCTTCCTCAGAATCCACGGGTAATCCATAATTCAGCAAGGAGGACTGAGGCCTTGTGGGCTCCTCTCCCGTCTATCGTTAGTTATCGACAGCACCAGTCTTGCACAGGCTTGAGGCTGGCAGACGCTGCTGCTGCTGCTACCACTGTGAAATATGTTTGCGTTGGCTATGCCCTTCCCAGGGGATCACATTTCACAGCTCTTCTCCCTAACCTCTTACTTCCTGTCCACACACTTGCCAATTCTGTTCCCTGAGCCTTAGAGGAGGAGGCTTTGGTGTCCCATTTGGGGCTGCACAACTCAGCCTTCAAAATTTCTCAGCACCACAGGCAAGCAGATCCTCTGCATTCAGTATTGTTTTCCCACCGGCCTGGGGCCGCTGCTTAGGCTAGGTTGACTGGCCCTGAAGCCCGGATTGCTTCTGACTCCACAGTGGGGTTATAAGTACACCCCACCACTTCTGTGGTTCTGGGGAGGCAAAGTTAGGTGCTCATTCTTGCGAGTCAAGGAGGCTGGAGAGAAGACTCAGTGGTTAAGAGCACCGGCTACTCTTCCCAAGGACCCAGGTTCAATTCCCGGCACTGACATGGCAGCTCACAGCTGTCTGTAATTCCAAGATCTGACCCCCTCACACAGATACACATGCAGGGAAAACACCAATGCACATAAAATGAAAACAAACAATTATGTTTAAAAAGAGCTTGTAAGTCAAGCGCGTTATCAACTGAGATTTATTTCCAGACACCCCACCGTACTATTTTTAAATGAAACGGTTGCAGGCCCTTTGCAGTTTAACGCATAGCCCCCGACGTAGATGGAATATGCCGTCTGAGCCTAAGCTACGCTTCCTTTCAGAATTCCCCACTCCTATCCTATCTGCTGCCACGAGTCCTGTGGTTCCTTGGAATGGGTCTGTGAGGATCATCTGCCAGGGAACTCCTGAAGCCTTCCTGTATCAATTGTACCTGGTGAAAAACTCCACACCCACAGTGATAGAGGAGAAACTGGGATTTCAGAAAGAGGCTGAATTCATCATCAAATACATGAATACAACCACGGCAGGATATTATCAGTGTCGGTATAGGAAGAAGTACCACTGGTCAGAGCAGAGCAAACCCCTGGAGCTGGTGGTGACAGGTAAGGAGATAGCCTTGGGAGCCTGGCCTTCTGCTAGTTATTTTGTCTTCGTTTGAGCAGACTTTGTGGGTGTTTTGTTGTTGCTGTTGTTGTTAATTACATTCATTAGTAGGTAACTCCATACAGCGTACATAACGCACACTGACCACTCTCGTCCCCACTTCTACTCATTTTGTTTGTGACCCACCGAGATTAGCTGGAGCCTTTCCTATTACTAAGGGTCTGAAGGTATCTTCTGGAGCCTGGTGGGCTCAGCAGTGTGTACACAACTAAAGGCATTGATTCTCCCTCTCCCAGAGTCTGTGAATAGCCAGTAATTCCATCGCAAAGGACAGGACGCCTTGAAGGTTACTCCCTCATGGGCAAACTTCCTTGAATTATTATTGACAGGATTGCTCTCATGTGGGCCCAATGCAGGTCATTACAGCTGTATGTTAATAATTGTGGTGGTTCTGTCAAGACTAGAGAATGGCATTTGCTAGTCCTCACCCTGTCTCCTAACTCTTATATACTTCCTGTTCACCTATGGGCAGTGTTGACTAGGTCTTAGACAAGGGTAGTATAAATGTCTTGTGTATATCTGGGCCCACAGCCATAATTAATCTCTGTATCTTGGGCAGCTATGAGTCTCTGCATTCAATGATGCTCATATTTTTTAGATTTTTTAGTTGTTTTCAATTAATATATTTTATCATATTCCTTACCCTCCTCCAATTCTTCCCAGATCCTCCCTGCCTCCACAATTTTGAGATAGCTTTAGGTTCATAGAAAAACTGAGAAGATGTTGAAGACTGAGGAGACCAAGAATGAATGAATATTGGTGTAACTCTGTTAGCTGATGTCTAAGGCATATTCAGAGTTCCTTCATTGCTATCGAATGGCCTTTATCTACGCTAGGACCCCTTCCAAGGTCTCACATTGCGTTTAGTTCTCACTTGGTTTTGATAGGCTTGGTGGTTTTGAAAAGCACAAGCATTTTCTGGGACTTCCTATTCTTCGAAATTGTCTGATCCTTTTCTCGTGACTACACTGAGTAAAGGGGTCATTGCAAGAAAAGGAGCGATGGTGCATGTTGTATTTCAACTGTTCTCACCACCAAAGAAAAATAAAATAAATAACTGTGTGAGTTAATATGTGTGCTATTCACTCTAGCTAGTCTTTATACAATGTGTGCATGTATCCAACATCATGCTGTGTGTGTACACGATAGATACACACCATGGTAGAGATGACAAACGCACAAAACCTTTTCAGTTTTAAAAATAAGCCAGATGAACTCAGTTGCAGAGAGGGAA